CACACACACACACACACACACACACACACACACACACACACACACACACACACAGAGCATCCATCTCCCCACACACCAATCCCCCACCCCACCGACTCAATTTGCAGGGAAGGTCTTTTTGCACAATGCCAGATGTGTCTCAGTCTCCACCTTCTCCAGCCCCCCCCCAACACCAACACCGCTGGAACAAAGGGGGGGAGCGTGGGAGGGAATGCAACAAAATCTGGCACAACAAAGGACACCCGTTTCCTCCCCCCCGCCCCGTCCCCCTCCCCAGGGCAGGAGAGGCTGAAGGCCTGCAGACCCCAAGGCTCGAAAACTCTGATTGCCATTTGCCTGGCGGCGGCTGCTGTGATAGGAAAAAAGCCCCCTCCTCTCTCCCCCTCAGGGGGGGGGGGGGTCCCAGCAGGAGGGGAAGGCTTCTGAATTCAGCTTTAAAAGCAAATTTTGTTTCCCTTGCTTCGAATTTAGGACAGAGCAGCTGAAGGAGGAGGAGGTGGAGGCTCCGAAGGGGACGGGAGACTTTGGCCCAAGAAATCCGGTGAGTTTGTTATCGCTCCTCCTTTTTCCAAAACAAACTCTCCCATCTTGCTGTCACAGCAGAACCGCCGGGAAGGAGGGTTGTGGCCTCCTAACAACGACGACACACTCGTTTGTTTTGGCACCCACCCGCGGCGCATGGCCGGGTTCATCGGAGGCTGGACGGCTTCAGCTCTTCCGAGCATCCTTTCCCCGGATGGAAACCAGGCAGATTATAGGAACCCCAAGGAGCAGAGGGCAGGCGAATCACTTCTGGGTCCCGCCATAAAACGGGGGCACGGCGGCTCTCCTGCACCCCCAGATTAAGTCGCAATTGTGCAACCAACAACAGTTCACAACCCTCCCTTCTTCCCCAGATAATTTTTACACAATTTTCTCCCCGCTTAAAGCTGAGCGTTGGGCAAACAGGTTCCGGCCCACGAGAACAAGGTTTCCAGATCTAATTAAGGCTGCATTTTCAACAGGTGCTGGGCAGGGCGAGGCGAGAGGGGTGGGGGCGTCATTGGGTGGGGAAGAGCCTTTCTGGAAAGCCCCTTCCCCACCAAAAATAGAGGGGGGAGGGCAAAGGCTTGCTGTGAATGCAGGCGGGACGGGAGGCTTTGTGGGGTGGAGATTGGGGTTTAATCCCAGCAAGGGAGGGGAGGAGGAGGAGAGGGGAGGGGGGGACAGCCAGCCTTGGAGACCAAACACTTTCCTCAGCAGATATCTGATCCTCCTCCCCTCTTCCTCTCGAATCTGGGCCTCCGAAACCTGCCCCAACGTCTCTCCCAGCCTGCATAGGCATGTCACGCCAGGCATAGTGCCACACCGCTTAGCCCCAGCCCACACAGGAGGAAGTCACCCAAAACACCGGTTGCCACCTCTGGCTGCGTTTCCCCCAAGCCAAGGACCCCCCCATCCTGGGCAGCGGAATCTCCTTCGCGCAACTTTGCCCTGGGTGCAAACCGGTGGGAGCCAGGGAGGGTTTTGCTGCGGCAGGATGGCGGTGCCAAGGAGCAGGGGTCAGCCCCCGCCCCCTTTTCTGGACAAATGCAAGGGGAGGGGGAGGACGGCAAAGACCCACCCCCCTCGGCTGCTTTGGGGCAATTTCTCTTTCTTTTCCAGTATTAAATTCACCTGAGTCTTTAAAATAAAAAACACAGTGTTGTTATCTTCTTAAACATAATTCTAGCTGGCAAAATAATGCCAGGTTTTGAGGTCTCTCCTCTTGCCCCCCCCCCCATCAATGCCAAGCTCCTGAACCAGATTTAGTTTGTGGCCTTTTCTCAGATTGGTGAATTGGCACAAATTTGGACAGTTTTGGGGCGTTTCAATGTAGTTTCATCCCATCAGAGAACTGAGGTCTTTTTTTTTTGAGGGGGGGAGGAAAAATGAGGCTCGGAGGCAGGGATGGGTCTGAACTGAGGAGGGGGAAAGGGGGTGAAACCATGCTGGAGAGATTGAGACATTTATTTTTTGTCTAGAACAGTGGTTCCCAAACTTGGCAACTTTAAGACTTGTGGACTTCAACTCCCAGAATTCTCCAGGCTGGAGAATTCTGGGAGTTGAAGTCCNCCCCCGACGACCCTCCGGAGGGCTCCCCACCCCGGACGCCCCGGACGCCCCGCCAGACCCAGGGGGGGACAGGGGCAGCGCGCGCGGAGGGGCGGCCGGGGTCTGCCTTTGCCCACCCCCCCTTTCCCCCGGCCGAGGGGTCGCGCAAGAAAGCCCCCCTCCCCAGCCCAGAAACAGAGCGGACCGACGACGACGGCCCTGCAAGGTCGGCCAGTCGCGGGGCGGGGGGAAGAGGGGGCTGTTTCAGAACTGCTCCGCTTGTGATGTTGGGTCTCCCCTGGTCCATCATCCCCGGCCTGCCCGGGCCAAGGAGGCGAGGGAGAGGCGGGGAAGGGGGAGTGGGGTCAGCCTGGCAGCTGGACCGCAGCGGGAGGGGGGGGCAGGCTGGCTCCAGGGCTCAACATCTGGCTAGAAACAGCGGCAACATTGACGTGGGGGGGGAAGCTGGGAAGCAGCTGACACCGGCAGAGACGCCCGAAAGGCTCCCTTCGCAGATGTCACCTGCTTGGCACCGCCGCCCCCATCATCCCCGCCCGCAGGCCTTGGGGGGGGGGCTGGCCGAGGAAGTGCTTTGGGGGGGAGGGGAAAGACCCCCCTGGCACGCGGGGAGCGGCTCCAGACCCCCCCCTCGTGCCTTTTCTCCCGGGTTCAGAAGACCCCCCCCCTCCCCAGGAGCATCTGAGCGGGGCAGGGGTCTTCAATCGGGGGCTTTTCCCCCCATGCTGAAGGGAGGGGGGAGCCGGTCCCTCCGCAGCCCCCTCCCCACCGAAGCCCCCCCCCGCGACCCCCAAAAAGCGATTTTCTTTGAAAGATGCAAAACGAGGAGAGGAAGAAGGTTAAAAATCTCCATGGGAAACTTTCAAAGTTCAAAGTTACAAACGTTCCAGGGGTTTTCCCGATCCAGCTGGCAGGAAAACCATCCCGGGATCTGCCCAGCCCGGCCACTGGATTACCTTTTTTTGGGGGGGGATGAGTGTGAGCACGCATGTTTGTGGCGCAGCCCACGGAACCCCCCCTCCGGAAAATGCACACACAGAAGGACCCCAAAAGCCACACCTGGCACTTAAGCCGCCTTGCCCTGGCGTGAAAATCCACCGGCGGGGGGTCCGTGACCAAGGAGCCACGCGGGGAGACCCACAGTGGGCCGAGGAGCCACCCCAAGGGTTTGTCACTCCTGGGGGTGGGGGGGCGGAAGGAAGAGAGGGAGAGAGAGAGAAAACCATGGCAAAACAATTAAAAATAAAATAATAAACCCCTCTGTAGAAGCAGTATGCCCACTCCCCCATTTTTTTAAAAAAGGGGGGTTGGGGGGGAGAGGTTAACAGATTTTTAACCGATTAACAGAGTTTGAAAGGGACCTTAGAGGTCATCTAGTCCACCCCCACTCCATTCAAGCAGGAGACCCTACACCATTTCTGACAAAGGCAGAGAGATTTTCCAGGAAAACTTTGGACTTGTGGAAGGACGGTGCCAACATTTGTGTGTCTGTGCTGGGTGTGTGTGTGTGTGTGTNGCTGGCTTGGAATCACCTGGTGGTGCCCCATCCACGCCTGACTCAGGTCTCAACCCTTTTTTTAAAGGGAGAGAACATAACAAAAAGCTTCGATTTCCCTCTCCTGAACAGACGCCTCCACACGCCTGCCTCCATCCCGAGAGGACAAGGAGTCAAATTATTCATTCCCCAATGCAGCTTGGCTCGCTTGCGCTGAGCTACCTAAAAACAGTGGTTCGTGCAAGCAGCTTTATTTATTTATTGAATTTATTTAATTATTGAATTTATAGGCCGCCCAATCCTGAAGAACTCCGGGCGCCTTAGCCTGGATTGCCTGCATGGAGACCCTCCCCCTGTTAATCCTCTGCTCCCCGCAACCCCCCCTCCCTCCCTCCCCTCACTCACCCGCTCTCCCCTTCCCGCAGCTTCTTGGCCGCCAACTGCTTCGATCGGCGGATCTCGGAATCCAGTTTGAAGAGGAAATCGGCGGCGGAGAGGTCGTGTTTAGGGACGGAGCCCCCCGAAGATCCGTTCTTCCGGGGCTGCTTCTGCTTCTTGGTCGACTCGGGGGGGACGGCCTCCCCCTCCCCTTCCTTCTCCTCTTCTTCCTCCTCCTCGAAGTTCAGTCCGTTGGACAAAGCCTTGGGCTTGGTGGGGATCCAGAGAGTCTTTTTGAGGAAGATCGAGTCGTTGGTGTAGAGCCGGTTGGCCCTCTTGATCTGCTCTGTCTGGAAAAGGAAGGGGGGGGGGAGGACAAAGCAAGGGGCTAGTCCTCATCGGTCCAAAACAAAAACCAAAACACCGCCACCCTGTGCAGACACAACATCTGGTCCTCCCTGGGCCAAATTTTAGGTTCGAATTGTCTGATTTTAGGGGCAAAACTTTGGAGAGATTCTGCAGACCCTGGCCTTGTGGCGCTGCGGCTTATGGGAGTCGTGGCTCAAAGAAAACTTTTAACATCCCTGCAGATTTGGGGATCTGGTTCAGCAGAGGAAATACCCAGGGGCTTAAAAGGAGAAGGGATGGGGTGCGCTTTGCAATAACGGAGCTTCCCCAGAGAGAGGCAGTCTATCTTAGGAGGGGGGTGGAAGAGGAGGAGGAGGGGGGGGATCAGGCTGCCTCTTGCAGATTGGCTTAGCTCCCCTATTGGAAGGACACTCTGTGCATGCTCAGAGGCTGCTGGTTTTTGCAACCCAGCCAGGGGGAGGGGGCATGCACCTGTCTCCCCCCCCCCCAAATGCTCACCGTCACCCCGTACATGACAGCCAGGCCCTGCAGGGTGTCTCCGGGGCGCAGCTGGTGCTCCAGCCGCCGTTCGCGCACCGGCGAGCTGACCAGGCTGCCGTAAGATCGAGCCCGGCTCCCCCGCAGCAGCCCGGCGGCCCCCGGAGACCCCTGCCCGGAGGGGGAGGAGGAGGAGGAAGCCATCCCGCTGGCCCCGAGGAGGGAAGGAAGCTGGTGCCCCGCTGCCCACCGCCCGCCCGGGGGCATCTCAGCAGCAGAGCCCCGCCAGAAGAGGGGCAGCAGAGCCCATGGAGACCCCCGCCCCGAGATGCGATCGCGGCTGCTGCGCTGGGAGGACAGTTGAGCAGGCGCCCCCCCCTCCCCTCCCACCGGCCCCGCCCTCTCGGCCAGCTGATCGCCCGCAAAGGCTGCTGGGAGTTGTGGTCCTGGACCCTCCCCCAGCCAGCCAGCCTCCCCCACCCCTTATTCCAAATAAATTTCAGTATATATATATATATTTTTAAATTCCCCCCCATGTGGATCCTGGCTGGTTTGGCCACTGGAGTGCCCGCCCTCCCTCCCTTGCTTTCCCCCCAGGTTTTGGGGTGCAGGGAGCAGACTACATGGCCCATGCTGCCCCTCCCGCAAAGGAGGATGGGGGGTGTAGTCCTAGGAGGGCGGGCTCCTCCCTTTTTATTATTTTATTTTCCTCCCCATCCGAGTCACTGCCATGAGATTGTCCCTCTTCCGCGGGAGAACAAAAGATGATTTTGCATGATTTTTTATTTTTATTTTTATGGATTAATTAATTTTGCAAGATTCCCCGTTTTGCAGGAGCAAACAGAACTCCCCCGCGGGGCCTGCTGGGAAATGGAGTCCCTTCGCAGAGGAAAGCGGGCCGGAGCGCCCCCTACCGGTCGACCGAAAGCCGCGTCCTGATTGGCGGAGAGGGGAAAAGGGCTCGGCCAGACTGCTGCCTGCTGGGAAATGGAGTCCCTCCCTGCGGAGCGCGGAGGAAAGCAAGCCGGAGCACCCCCTACCGGTCGACCGAAAGCCGCGTCCTGATTGGTGGAGCGAGGAGAGGGCTGCCTGCTGGGAAATGTAGTCTAGTCGTCCCTCCGCAAGAAAGCCCCTTGCCTGTCCCGGCAGCGGTGCGGCCAGCGGTNAGAGAGAAAAAGACAGAGAGAGAATAAGAAACAGAGAGAGAAAGAGAGAGGGAGACAGACATAGAGGGAGAGAGAGAGTGGGAGAGGGGGGAGAGAAAAAGAGAGAGAGAGTGAGAAAAAGAGAGAGAAAAAGAGAAAAACACACACAGAGAGAAAGAGAGAGTGAGAGAAAGAGAAAAGGAGAAAGAGAGAGAATGCGAGAGAGAGTGAAAGAGAGAGAGAGAAAGAGAGAAAAAGACAGAGAGAGAATAAGAAACAGAGAGAGAAAGAGAGGGGGAGACAGACACAGAGGGAGAGAGAGAGAGAGAGAAGGAGAAGGAGGAGGAGGAAAAGAAGAAAGGGGCACCCAGAGGTTATCCAGACCCTTGACCAGCTCCAAACAGGCCAGAGGCCTTCTCTGGAGAGGCAAAAACACCCACTTAATGACGCTTTCTCCTTGCAAGGGGGGGGGGATCAGGAGTCAAAAGAGGAATATTAACAGGATTTGGCTAATCTAAGCAAGTCAGCTGAGGCTGCCTCTTCCCAGCTGTTCCCTTCCAGTCCTCCCTGGGTTACGCTATTCCAGCTGTTGGCACAGGGCTGGCCTTCATCATTTGCAAAGCCAAGTCCAGAAGACATTTGGGGGGAGATTTCTTTCTCTCTCTCTCTCTCTTTTTTGTCTCAATGGTTTTGCAAAAGGCGGGCGCTCTGTGTGTGTGTGTGTTTGTGTGTGTGTGTGTGTGTTTGTGGACGTCAAACGCTCCCAGGGGGGCCTTTCCCACCCAGCAGATTCCCAGAAGGAACAGAGAGGTCTCCCTGCCCCCCTCCCTCAAACATACACACAAACACACGTCCCTTCTTGTGCCTCCGGTCCTTTCCACACACTGAATTCTCCCCCCCCCCACACTTTAAAAAAAAGAGGGGGTGCTTGGCGGGGATTCAACCCTGCTTTGTTTATTGGTGGGAGAGTTGGGGGGGGTTCCCTTTTCTTGCGGGCTTCGTAAAGTTTGGACTTATTTTTTTAAAAGGATTTAAGCCACGCAGAAGTTGACTTTAAGAGGGGGGGGAGAGATAGGGATGAAAACAGAATAATTTGATCAAGGGGGGGGGCAAATGGGAGAAAAGGGGGGCTTTATCCAAAGGCCCTTCTTTGCAGCCAAAGCAGCGGGGCGCCCCCCTCCCCCGAGAAGACCCCCCCCACCAGCGTTGCAAAATGCAAAGGAGCCGAAGCGCCAACTCAGCCATCCGCTACCTTCAGACCTTCTCAAAGGGGGGAGAACTACAATTCCCATCGCAGCCCAGTTTTCTGCGCTTCCCCGGGAGGGCGATGGGCGTCGGAGCCTGCGAAGGGCGCCCGGTTGGAGAAGGAGGCAGGCAAGAGATGCTCCTGGGGGGGCTCCGGGGCTCGCTTCCCCGGGGAGGGGGGGAGAAGGCTGAACTTCCAAGGGGGAAGCAAAGGGAGGGGGGCATAAAGAGGGGCTTGGGGG